CTTGCCAGCTCACTCAGCTCATTCTTAATCAAGAGCCCTTTGCATGGTCCAACATGGGAGAGGCGGGAAAGAACATACTTTAATATTTTGGGAAACATAGGAATCAAGGGGGTTGAGGGTGGGGATGGGGATGGTCTGGATCAGTGGTATCAAACTGAAAGAGAAAGGGATCCCTGCAGGCAGGACATTGACTTAGAAAACCACATACTAACATTATCTATGTTCTATTGTATTTTTATTTATTTCCTTAAATGTTTCCCCATTACATTTTAATCTAGTTCAGGCCATACTCAAGAGTGTTGTGGGCCATATGTTCCCTTGGGCTGCATGTTTGACACCTCTGGTCTAGACTGTGGGGCAAATTTTCTGAGTGAGGGGAAAACAGTGGTTAACTCTGTGATGCTAGTTGACATTTTTGGGAATTTATTTCCTACTATAAATATGTCCTTGTCAAAAAAACAGACAGATGTAAGGATGGATGAAGCTAAAGGGTGTCAAATGGCTCCAGGCTCAAAATGAGGCAGCAGGAAGACTAACAAAAATGCTAGTGGGATCTTTGGCCTAGTGCTCAGAGCACTTAAAACCATAGTCCCTCTGTTCTTATGATTCTCAGAGTGTATCTGGATTAGCATGTTCACTTCTAGGAGGGGCTTGGACAAGCTAGCGCTTCAGCTTTTTTTTTACTTCATTGTCTATGGTACCTTTTAGCAAGAGGTAGTTTCCTTGCTTATCTCTTTCAGTTAGATTTATTTCTACTTTTGCTTTGTCTGAGATCATGATTTCTATCCTTGCCTTTTTTTAACCTCTGCTGAAACATAATAGATTTTGCTCCAGCCCCTTATTTTTACATTGTGTGTGTCTCTCTGCTTGAAGTGTGTGTCTTACAAATAACACGTTGTTGAATCCTGGCTTTTAATCCATTCTGCTTTCTACTCCCGTTTTATGGATGAGTTGTTCCCATTCATACTCGCAGTTATGATTACTGTGTATTTCTGTACATCCTATTTTTTCCCATTTAGTTTTCTTTTTGCTCTGTTCCTCCTCAAAAGTCTGTTTTGCTTCTTATCACTGCCTCCCTTCTATCAGCCTCTTGATCCTTCTCTTATCCCCTTCCCTTCCCATTTCTATGTTGGATAATATAGATTTCTATATCCAACTGAGATTGTATGTTATTTCCTCTTTAAGCCAATTCTGATGACAGTAAGGTTCAAGCACTGCCCAACACCTCTGTCATCTTCCCTTCTACTATATAAGCTTTTTGTTTCTTATGTGAGATAATTTACCCCATTCTACCTCTCCCTTTCCCCTCCTCCCAGTGTATTCCTCTTTCTTACCCTTTAATTTTTTTGAAATCATCCCATTATAGTCAACTCATACCCCATGCCCTCTGTCTGTATATACTTCTTGTAACTGCCCTAATACTGATCAAGTTCTTAGATGTTACAAGTATCATCTCTCCATCTGGGAATGTAAACAGTTTAAATTTGTTGAATCTTTTATGCTTTCTCTTTCATGTTTACCTTTTTATGCTTCTCTTGAGTTTTATATTTGAAAATAAAATTTTCTATTCCTTTCTGGTCTTTTCATCAGGAATGTTTGAAAGTCTTTTATTTCATTTAATATCCATTTTTCCCCCTGAAAGATTATACTTGGTTTTTCTGGGTAGGTGATTCTTGGTTGTAATCTTAGCCCTGAAAAATTTTACATTTTAAGCCTTCCAAACCTTTAATGGGGAAGTTGCTAAATCTTGCCTGATCCTGACTGTGGGACCACAATATTTGAATTGTTCTTTTCTGGATGCTTGTAATATTTTCTCCTTGACCTGGGAGCCCTGGAATTTGGCTATAATATTCCTGGGATTTTTTATTTTGGGATCTCTTTAAGGAGGTGATGGAAAGATTTCTTCAATTTCTATTTTACCCTCTCTCAGGGATAACAGGGTAGTTTTCCTTGATAATTCCTTGAAAGATTATGTCTGGGTTCTTTTTTTATTCATGGCTTTAAGGTAGTTCAATAATTCTTAAGTTACCTATCCTGGATCTATTTTCTAGGTCAGTTATTTTTCCAAGGAGAAATTTCACATTTTCTTTTATTTTGTTCATTATTTTGATTTTGTTTGATTCTTTCTTGATGTCTCATGGAAACATTAACCTTCGCTTGCCCAATTCTAATTTTTAAGGGATTATTTTTCTTCAATGAATTTTTGTACCTCTTTTTTCCATTTTGTCAATTCTGTTCGTTAAGAATTCTCTTCAGTGGATTTTTGTACCTTCTTTGCCAAGCTGTTGATGCTTTTCATAATTTCCTTGCATCACTATCATTTCTTGTCCCAATTTTTATTCTATGTCTCTTACTTGATTTTTAAAATCCTTTTTGAAAATTTCTCCAGGAATTCTTGTTGTGCTTGTGTCCAATTCATATTTTTTTCCACTAAGGCTTTGCTTGTAGTTGTTTTGACATTGTTAACTTCTTCTGACTTTGTGTCTTGATCTTCCCTGTCACCATAGCCACTACCTTTCTATGGGTTTTTTTTGTTTTATTTTTTGCTCATTTTTCCAATTTCATACTTATAACTTCATGTTAAAGTTGGGCTATGTTTCTAGGGTGGAGGGCACACTGTTGTGCTGTTGTTTTCAGAGTTTGTTCTAAGTGACTGTAAGTTTTTGGCTCCTCTAAAGTGGTATGCTCTAAAGAGAAGTGTAGTCACTGCTCTCTTGGCCTGTATTCTGGTCTTTGCCCAGGAAGGACCTTATTCTCCTGTTGCTACAAGTGCTTCTGTAGTCTTTGGAACTGTGACCTTGTATCTTGCTTTCCTGCAGTCACAAGTGCTAGTGTTTCTGCCTTGAAACTGAGATGAGGGTCCTACTCCCTTGTGAGCAACCACAAGCACTCTTCTCTGCCCAGGAACTGTGACCCAGGGTCCCTGCTCCCCTTCCACCCTGAGCACTAGTGCTCCTTGTCCCCTGGGACTGTTACTCAAAACTGCATATGGGCAATATAAAGGGTCCTGAACCCAGCACCAGCAAAGGGTCCCTTGTAATTTCTAATCTCTGACTAGTTATCCAACCCCTTAACTCTCTATGGGCTGAGAGCACCAGAAATTGCTGCCTCTAAGGCCAGATGATGCACTGTACTCCACCTCAGTGTGACATTTTCTGCCAATCCCCTACACTGTCTTTGGCTGGAAAATGGTTTCACCCCAACCTTTTGTTGGTTCTGCCATTCCAGAATTTGATTTGAGGTGTTATTTTAAAGTTATTTGAGTGGAATTTGAGAGTTGGGTCCTTTATTCCACCATCTTGGCTCCCAAAATTGGCCCCTATATTCTTAAGGGAGGATTTGTTCTAGGCATACAAGGACTCTCAATTATAACATGAGACTGCTGCTTTCCTGGCAGCAAAACACTTGAAGCAGAGTAGATGCCCATCAATTGAGGAATGACTACAACGATGGTATATGAATAAAATGGAATATTATTTTATCTTAGGAAATTACAAATATAAAGAATAGTCACAGGAAATAATGAAGTAAAATCAGCAGAACCAAGAAAATAACATACACAATGAGTGGTTTAAATGGAAGAGACAAAAAACAAAAAAGAAGAAAGAAATCATACTATGTAGTTGCTGCATAATGACCAAGCTTGGCCCTAAAGAAGAGAAATAATTCCCTTTCCTCACCTCTTTACAAAAAATGGTAGAGTATGGGTATGGAACACTTCATTTATTTACAGATTTATTTGATGTGACGAGTTTTGCTGAATTGCTTCCCTTTCCGTTTCCCTTCTTATTCTTTATTATAAGGGACGGCTTGCTGGAAGGGATACAGGTAAAGATATTGGGAAATGAAAGTGCTGAGAAAAACAAAAGGTACTAATACATTTTTAATAAACAAAATAACAAAGTTACTGGTCAAGCACCATGTGTGGTAGAAGGAAGTGGTAAATATGGAAGCTTTAGCTTTCAAATAAAATAGAGAATAAGGACAATAAAAGGTTTTTTTTAAAGCATCATCTTAGAAGGCATTTACTCTACACTACTCCACTCATTCTAGAAGTAGGAATGCCAACATCATCTTTACATATGGATATAATTAGCAATAGAAATGATATTAAAGATGATGCTTTGCTAAACATCTAAGAATCATAGGACCTTTGCATTTGACAAGCACCTCAAACCTAATTGTTATCTCTCCCATTAGCATGTGGGAATTAGATAGTTTTCATTGAGAAAAGACTATTCCTGCCTTTCCTATTTCTATCCCAACTCCCAATAGTACTTTGTACATAGTAAGTGCTTAATAGGTGCATCTTTCATTCATTCATTATTTATTCATTCACTCACTTCAGTGGTATTCTTCTAGCTCTATTTTTTCATCTAATTTTTATATTCTACCTATTAATGATTATACAAACCTGCAGAGCCCTAAAATGAACTGAACCCCAAATTCAATACGGCCAATTTCATCCCCTGAGAGTACCACCAATACTGTCAATTCTCAATTCCTTAGGAAAGAGATGCATGCATACAGGCAATGAACACTTATTAAAACCATCTACTATGTGCCAGGTACTGTGCTAAGTGTCAGAGATACAAAGAAAGGCAAAAAGATCGTCTCTGCTCTCAAGGAGCTCACAGCATAATAGGGAAAGACAACACATAAAAAGAAGCCAAAAGGAGGAGAAGGGAAAAGGCACTTAACATTAGAATACAATGAAGACACACAGGCAGCTAAGAAATGATGAGAGGGCTGCCCTGGGCCTCTTTCTTAAATGGAGGAAATGGGAAGAACTCTCAGATATTCACCCTCCACCTTCTCCAATCAGATAGAAGGAAGGATCCCAGGGAAGGGGATACATGAAAGAGATAAGATTTTTCAGAGTTGATGAAATTTTGCAGGAAGATTAGTTACTGGAGGCAATGAAATCCAGGAGGTCAGTTCTGTGAAAAACGATGAAGTGGCTGATTGTGGCATGCATAATCAATGAACACACCAGTACATTCTGAGAAAATAATTTATTTTGTTTTACATCTTAAATGATATTAAAAGCTCTTAAGAGCAATCATTAAAGATATACTGAATTTGTTTCAATTGGAATTCCAATGACTCTTTCCTTAAAAAAAAAAAAAAGCAAAAGAAAACTAATCATCAACTCCCCTTAAAGTTGCCTCTTAAACCTGATACCAAAACACTCAGGATACATCATGTTGAGTACAGGGTGGATAGCTTAGTCCTTCTTCATCCAAATTTAGTCTAAAATGGATTGACTAATATTTACGGAGCTCAAGAGGGCTTTGACTGACATATGATCTATTTTCCCCTGCAGGTATTTAAAATTTTATTATTATTATTTTTACAAAGAAAGTGTTAGATAGGGAGAGGAACAGGAGAATGTTCATGTTAACCACTGTTACACTGTGTCAAAGTAGCCCCTGCACAGTAGTTAGCACAATATATGCAATGACAAATAGGTCCTTGAGGAACTTATTTGGATACGGAAAATAATTTGAGCTGGAACACATGAGAAAGCTAGGAAAATAAATATCAACATACATTCCTTCTCCTGCCTTCTCAGTGAGCTAGTGGCTCAATTACCAATGAGATCTAAGGACATTTATAGTCTCTCTCAGAGGATACTGATGTCTTTTGCCAGAATGATGGCTATTGGAAAGGCTAACATTGCCATCTGTATTTGCTTTCATAATAATTCACATGGAATTCCATTTTTGAGGGCCTACAGTCATTCACTTGGTGTCTTTTGCTTCTTTTACCCTGGATGCTCACTAAGACATTATCCAATCCCTTGAAGTGGTCCAAGTGGCACTGGCAGTGATAATTAAATAATAGAGCATTTCCATAGGCTTTCTCTTGTTTGGAGGAAGTCCAGGGTAAAGAACTTAAAGTTTCTTGCCCTCTCCTTCTAATCTCCATTGGCCCTCTCTGTCTCTACTTTCTCTCAACTTCTTCTCCTCACTCACAGTGTGAAAACTACAAGGTGGAAACTATAATTGGGGCAAGTATGAAACAACACACGCAGAAGGAAACACTGGCCATTGAGAGTCATTAGGTAGCCCTGTGAATTTGTTGTGTCCACTGGAAGTAAGGATACCTTCCTCACTCCTGTAACACAGGTCATCAAACACCAGTCTCATATCTCCAACATGTTCAGTGCACCAACGGGATCTAATGTAGCAGTGCCACAGACCAGTCACCAGACTCTTATTTTATATTTTCTGGCCCCTAAAGATGACTTAACACTCACTTAGGAGCTAATCTGCCTCTTGCTGAATAGATGTTTAATACCTAGTCCTGGAAGAGTCATTGAAATAAAACCCCTGGGCACCATTATGAAAACTCATGTTCAGATAGTTGTGTCTCCTAATATTTTTACAAACTTTGCAGATGAATACATCACTATCTGATCAGGAATGACCACAGTCCTCAAATGGGTTCAGGTAATGTGCCATTGATAGTCATCTAAGAATTGTAAACTTGGGTTGTGTCATAGCCCATAGTACTTATAAAGTATTGGCACAGGCCAGATGTCACCATCCTTCTTCAGGCTGGCTGAAGACAGCGACACATTACAAAGTCATAAGGAACCAATCCATGACTTAGACCTTCCTTACCAACTTTTGGATGGTTGAATTTTACTTACAGAATAAGAGTGTTTCTGGCTTTGCATATTTATGACATAATCTATTTAGTCATATTTTATTAAGGTCAAAATATTTCCCCATTACCCACAGTAGATTAAAAAAATCAGTGTGTATTTACATCTAATTTCCATAGATAGGTTCTTTATCCAGTATCACCCATGCAGAAGATTGAAAATTATAAAGAAAAAAGAGGTTTTGTGAATTTGCTTTTGAGTGAGGTGATGACTTTTTGTAATTTTTTTGGCTTTACTTTTTTTTTAAGTGCAACTGCTTTGAGGAATTAGCCAGAATGGTAGGCACTCTAATCCAGAAACTTAATACCATCCCATCAAAAATATCAGGAGTTATTTCTCACCACATTATACTCTTTTGACTGCCAAGCAATCTTGACAAGTCTAATGTCTGAGGAGGTGCCTATATGGTAATCCCAGCAGTATTCTGGTGATAAGATTTTTGTGGGTTTATTGAGAAGGAAATACTTGTTGAGATGGCTTTCATCATGCCACTCAGCTTCAATGTCATTTTTCTTGTCCTGAAGAATTCCCTTGAAGCATTCCTGGGTGAGGTTCAAAACCCGAAGGGGTGTGCCACCAAAAATGGCTGCATGGTAATAGAAATCTCCCTGGCCAAAAGGGATGTATGCTGCAGACTCAGGCCTTCTCTCATAAGTGAACTCACTGGGATCAGCCTTATACCACCATGCCTGGAGTTGAGCTACTGACTCACCCAGAGTCTCCACCCCAAAATCATCCTTGAAGATCTGATCCACATCCATGCAGAAGAGGAAGTCAACTTCATACTGGATGTGATTTATAATGTGTTCCCCAATGATTTTCATACGCATCATGCTAATATCCTGCCACCTCTTCTCTCTGTTGATTTCAAATACTTTGAATGTACGAAGGGGACCCAGCTGTATCCAAGGTATCTTAGAGTAGTCATCCACCATGATGTAAAATATGACTCTCTGGCCAACCATGAAGTACTTCTCAGCAGACGTCATGAATTCCTCCAAATATCGATCAAGGTACCTGTGAAACAAACCATAAATAAGTTAAGTTATCCCCCTAGATGATGATAATGATAAGTTTTAGTGATGTCATGCTGAGCTATATAAAGATAGCATCTATATAGTGCTATATACACATACATATATGCTATCTTATTTAGTCTTCTCAACAACTGGTGAAGTAGGTGCTATTATTAAGCCAATTTTGCACTTTAGAAAACAGGTAGACAAAAGTTTGAGAAGAAATTTTCTGAGAGGCAGTCTGGGGGACTGGGGGCCCTCACTCAGTTCCTAGCTGGTTCACCAACTGTAGTCATAAAAATATGTGTTAAAGAGAAACTGATGCACAAAGTTATAAGCAGATCAACTTATTAGTATGGCTAGCAAATATCAATAAATTGGATCCAAGACTCTTTAGTAGTCAAGGATACATCTGACAGATCAAAGACTTGTCCATAGTCACACAGCTAATAAGTTTCTGAAACAGGATTTGAACTCAGATTTTTCTGACTTCAAATCTAACATTATAGCAATTGTACCACCTAGCTCCTTCCCATTTTCTCTCACAATTGACAGCATGGATGGACTTTGGATGGATGGTCTATCTAGCTACCATAATATTTTGCTTCCATGTCACAATTTATCACTTGCAAACCAGAATGCACCCAGAAGGGTGACCATGATGATAGGGAGTACATAAAAAACTATGCCATATGAGAATCACTTGAAGAAAATGTATATTCCTATGTAAAACTGAAAATTGATGCCCCATCTTATTTTCTATCATTTTCAATTTATTATGTATTAATTATCAATCAATTCATTATGTATTGATTGGCCCCCTCATTATGTTACTTTGAACTCCCTTAAGCCTGAAACTTCAGTTGCCTATTGTGAAATTATATAACTGAAATTCTGTGGTTTAATTATTGATTGAGAATTGTATCTAATCAGTATATCTAGTCAGAATTAATATTTGTGAATCAAATTCAGACTTGATTGCAAAAGCCCTATTAGTAAAATCTATAAGAGTTTAACTTCTGTATACCTCTGGGATAAAATCCAACCATAAAAATTTAATCTGTGAGCCTTTGCCGATCATGGAGGGAGAAGAGTCAATCTTGTGATAGGATGTCTGCCCACCACGAGACTCTCTGAAGGATGTTAGTCATGGGATTTTGGTCCACCTGGTGAGAAGCTACTGTGAACAGCCCCAACCAATCAGGACTAAAATGTGTCTATATAATTACTGTGTAAATACTATGAAGAACTGATCTGTCAGATGTATCCTTAACTATTAAGGAGTCTTAGATCCAATTTATTCGTATTTGCTAGCCATACTAATAAATTGATCATGCTTATAACTCTGTGTTTCAGTTTCTCTTTAACACAGATTTTTATCACTACAGTTGGTGAGCCAGCTGGGAACCAAGTGAGGTCCCCCCCACCTCCACCCCCACCAGCTGCCTCTCAGAAGAACTCTTCTCAAGACTACCCTGGAGGTTGGATTCACCAGCTTGGCCTTGATCCAGATTTTCTTGGAGGCAAGGTAAGCTCCTGAATGGAGATCTTTATTAACAGAAAAAAAATAGGAAAGTCTCTAGGGCACTTCAACAGTTATTATACAAGTAGAATTTAAATTGATAAAAAAGTGTTAAAACTGATTATAAGAACTAGATTTTTAGCAAAAGTTTCAAAGAGAAAGTAAAATTCTTAATGAAGAGGGGTAAGGATGAAAGAAAAATGCATAATACCAGGAATTTCTTTTTTACATTTTCAGCTGGCAAAGCAAAACAGCCAAGTTATAACCAAGTTGTAAATTCTCCCTTAAGTGGCAGTGGGCCAAAGTAAAATGGCTTTTCTAGTGATAAAACAATTGGCTACTTAAATTCATTAAGTTTAATTGGCTTTTCTAAATTGGCTCAAAATTGAGAATCAGTCTCTGGGTCCTCCTCTGTACTATTAAAATCCTAGTAGGGCAATCCTGAAGACCGTGTTTCTATACAACTGGCTATAACAACCTATAGCCAACTGAAAGGAGGAATTGTCATATTCCATTTCTTAAGTGGGATGAATGGGGGATGCCCTCTTCTATGGGGGCACACTGTAGGGTCACTTGTGGCAACTTCCTAATAAATGCCCTCTCAGAGTCACTTGTGACTGCTACTGCTGGTTTCCCACTCAATATCCCTTTATGAGTGACAGGGGTGGGGGCAGATACTAGTGTTTCCAAATGAATCCGTTCCCCCACCCCCAGGAAAACTGCTTAAATCCTAGAGTCAAAGCAAGCCACCAGTTCATCTGGGAATGACAGTTAGCCATTAAATGAAGTGACCTTTGGTCTAAGACTGCTAGAGATTCAACTGGTAAACAATTTTGGCCTAAATTTGACACTTTTGATTATTGTACATTACAGAAACTAAGAATGGCCATTGCACAATCTCACCCAAAAAGAATGAATCATGTTTAAATTTGGTGTGGGCCAGCCTTGTCTGATGGGACATGCCTACTGCTCCTTAAAGGGCTCACTTCTGACTACTCTGTTCTGACTGTTCCCTCCTCTTTTGCTCCTCCACCCTATTTGTCTTCCACTATGGTAAGAGAACTAACCTCTTTCAGACAAGAAGGACTAGCTGCTGGTGATTTTATACCATGATGTCACCCAGCCTGGAAACATGATACCATTAAAAGTCTTTCTTGTTATATCGGAAATGCCCAAATATGAAAGAAGAGATAAAAAAAATGGACACCTAGGCAGAAACCTCAGGCAGTCTTGGCCACTACCAAAATACTTCCTCCTTTTTGAGCCTTGCCAGGGAACCTCAAGAACAGGAATGCTTTTGTTGCACAAAAAGGGGGGCATTTTGCTAGAGGTTTCATTAGACTTATAGAATACTAAAAATAAGATAGTGGGAAGACCTAAACAGAAATTTAGAATATTAGAGTGTGGGGGTAAGTGTCTTATCTGTGCTTTGCACTAATCTTTACTGGCAAGTGTTTTCCAGGTGTTTCTTTTGTTCCGTAGTCTGACAAGTGAACCTAGTTTTTTCATTTAGTCTGATCAGCCAAGGAAAAAGGAATATAGAAAGTGAAACTTTCAGAAGTCTTCAGAAAAAAAAAAAAACCTGTCTTTTCTCTCTATATGTCCAACCCTGCCCAAGCTGGAGACAGAAGACAGATTTAAAAAGATCTTTTTTTTTTCCTGGCCCATAAGGAAAAAAACAATTAGAGTATAAATTTATACCCAAATTGTAATTTTTCTACTGAAAATTTCTAAATTGTGATTTGGATGCTTTATGAGTCTTTTGATGAGTTTTGGGGGTACCAGTCTGCAGAGATTGTTTAAATAGGAACAGAAATTTGTAAAGTTTGATAGAAAAAATGGGCAGATCTATTAGATTACTTTTTTTAAAAAAAAAAAGGAGAAACTTCAGGATGACGTGAAGTTTAAATTGCAAACTGGTTTTAAAGTTATAGTTTGAATTTTAAGAAGTGTTTCAATAGCCATGAAATCTGTTTAAAAGAGATGCAGTTAAATAGGGATTCAGAGAAGTGTTAAGAAAATTAGGAAAATATTACAGGAGAAATTAGAGTAAAAGTTCTGTGAGTTTAAATAATTCCACAACTCAGAACTTAAAATGAAATGTTTGCTATGTAACAGGAAAGTAATATGTTGGAATATTAAAGACTGATATGAGATCTCTAACTGATCAAGTCTCACTTTTATAGTGGGTTCTGCTTTTCCAACTGCAGGATAGTAAGACCAGTCATTTCGCTTTTGAATCAGCAGAACATTCCAAAGCAGTTTGTAGTTTGTAGGTTTTTTGCTGGAATTAGTTTTAATTTTTGTGTAAATTCTTTAAAAGGTACACTTAAAAACTGTATTTAAAGGGAATGACAAATTTATTGCAGAATGGAAATGAGATTTTTTCCGATTAAAAGGCAGAACAGGAAAATTTGAGACCACATTCAGTTTCCTCTTTCCAAAAGAAAAAAAGTAAGTCAAGTTGCAGTCTATTTACCCTTCTGTTGCATACTGCTTTTTTTTTTCTTTTTGTGCTTACTGCTTTTAAACACCAGGCAAACCCTGTTATTGGTCCCTACATTGGGACTCCCAGATCACATACTTCTGGTAAGTTTTATAACAGTATTCAAATTGCAAAGGGAATGTAAATACTAAAGTGTTCCCAGTTTCTGATTTGACCTCAAGAGAGAGAAAAATTTACTTTAAAATCAGGAAGCTACTGAAAAGTAAATAAAAGTTAATGTTCTGTAAAGGCAGTTAGGGTAAGAGTTATTGAGAACAGAATTTAACAAGAACATAACATTATAGGAGTTAAATGTGCTCACCTAATGTGTCTGTATGAATGCTCAAATTACAAAAGATCAATTAAAATGAGTATATAGCTCTAAAATACTAAAGTTTTGAGAAGGCAAAGTAGAACTTGCAAATTATTTAAGGACAAATAAACATTTTATGGGATGAAATAAGGAAGCATACAATATAAAACAAAATTTATCAGTTAGAAGTTTATAAAATCATAAAACAAAGCACAGTGCTTTGGAATATCTACTACATGATACATTATAAATTAGGTTAAGGAAAACAGAAGAAATGGACTTAGCTTTTGAGTGATTTTAAAGGAAATAGAGAAAAAGTTAAACCCTGAGCCCTTCAGAAAATTATAGTCTGCATCAGACACTTTTTTTCAGTAATGCAATTCCTGTTAACTCTATATGAAGTCAAAACTGTGTTTTAATAAAAGCAGGAACTTTAAATCAAGAAATTATTATATCATAAAGCAAAGGATCTTTCTAACTCAAATCATCATTGCCAATTCGGCAGATTTAATTATGGATCAGAAAGGATAATAATCTGTTTTACTATATAAGAATTAGTGAAATTGGTTGAAGTCATTAGGGAAGGCTACATCAATCTTTTTAGTATAAGTACACTATCAAAAGGTGTTCAGTTGTTCGAGTCACGCCCAACTCTGTGTGAACCCATTTAGGGTTTTCTTG